ACTTTTTTTTTTTTAACAATTATTGGAGATGATCTTTGTCTCCTAAAAGTGGAGAGTCCATTCCCATTTTTACAATTCCCCAGATGACTCTCTTGAGGCTTCGAGCTGTTTGCATTTGCAGAGTCAGGCTTGGAGCCAACCAGGAATCCTTGGCACACCCCAAATCCTTTTGACTGCCATTGGAGTAACAGTGGGTACGGAAATTAGGTCTTCAAAAATTGGTATGTACGTGATCCTTACATTTTCAGATCTTTTTGGCTCTGATATTGTTTAATTCTGTTCTAAATTGTTCTGAGGAGATAAAATGCTTGATTTGACCAGTGTGAAAAGTATACTAATGTTTCTTATCACAGTCTGAACTCGTTGTTACAGTTAACCCTGAAATTCAGTGACGCGCTTTGGGATTGCATTAACAGAGGAAGATATTTGTAATCTGACTTTGAGATGATGATTTTTTTCCTAAGCTGTTCTCATCCCATTTTACTTGCTGGTTTGTTTGCCTTTTTTCTACATCACTGTGTTCAAAGTGGAAATAGGAAAACTGAGAATGGATGTGTACCTAAAGTAAGTATGTCTCTATGAAAGTAGTGAGAAAATAGTTTCCTTGTTCATTTTTAGAGATTATATTCAAGCAGTGTTTGCCATGCAAAACAGCTTTGTATTTCAGAAGTGCTAGACTGTAATGGTAAGGTTGGTTGAATCACTGTCACATCAAATTCAATATACGGTAAAAAGGCAAAAGCAGTGAAGCAGATGAGGAAATAGGTTTGCCAGCAAAAAATGTTTCAATCCTGTTTCCACAACTGGAAAGCAGAGACCATATTTGAGGAATATTACAATATGGATTGTAAACAGCTTGGGACTAGGTGGCATAAATTCACCTCTGAGTAAAGTATTGTAACCTAAGGGTGAAACAGCAGAGATCTGGATAAGAAACGAGCCTGGCTTTCCTTTCACTACTGCTATAGTAATGAAGTATTTCTGTCACTGGCGGAACTGTATAAAATGAGAAAAGTAATAAAAAAGGCTCCACAGCATACAGCGCTCCTGCTCTAAAGGAGATGCTGTCTATTAAATAACTGCAAGATTTCCATGTACACAGGATCATGAGGGACTTTTAAGAAATCAATAACAGTATGAGTCATTCATGGCAACCATTTTCTGCAGTATTTGCTTTAAAAATACAGTTGGTGTTGGAATTGGTTGGAAACTTTCCTAGGACTGGTAAAGAAGAGGAAGCTTAAGGCTTAACACCAGTAAGGAACAGCTGGTGCAACAGACCCGTGGCACCAGTACTGGGGAAAATGGGAGGGTGGTTCCAGCTAGGAATGGCTTTGATCTGTTGTCTGAGCCAAAAGACAACTTCGTATCCGTAGTCACCTAATTTCCCCCCATATCCTTACACCAGTAATAACCTTTGCATTACTCTCAAACTTTTTTTAGACATTTGTAAATATGTAATATTGAAAATATGGAAAAATTGTGTACCAAAATGGTATAAAAATGTGTAAGATAAATGCTCTGTTTAATGAGAAGCTGTAATTAAATGCTGCTTTGCGAAAGTGTGCATGAGGACGTGTTAAATATTCTATGTATCTAGAAGTTGTGTTAATGACAGCAAATCATCCATTTATGTCAGAAAACTTCATGCTAATATGGAATATGAAGGAAAAACTAATATTTTACTTCAAGCAAAAGTTGGGTATTGAGTTTCTTGGAGGACTTCATGTGCATAATCACTGTTAAATATGTTCATAATAAAGTTTTATATCTTTATATTGTATCTTGATTTTATTGTCCTTCTGGTGAATGACTACCATTTTTGTAACTTGCATGTATTTTCAGTTTATATGTATTTTCTTATGCATACTTAAACTTGGTTAATTGCATAAGGATGGGATTCAGGAGGCTGTGTCAGCACAGATTAGCCAGGGAATTATGTTTTGGGTTGTTTGTTGTTTTTGATTATCCTGCCTGGGCTTGAAGGTGCAAGGACAGGTTGCTAATGTTCCCAGGAAATACAGAGGTGAACTGGCATTCTCAAATGGCTGAAGAGCGGCTTTGCAAAGCCTGCTGTGGCCCCGTTGCAGTAAAACTTCCCCTGGGGAATGTTAGTGCCATCTGCCATCCTGCCAAATGCACAGGTGTCACCTTAGGTGCTGCTGGAGGCCTCTGCCAGCAGGGCTGTCCGTTCTCCCCCTGGCCGTGTAGCGATGCGTCCTCTCAGCACACCCAGGAAAGGGCAGCCCCACCTTCACCTCACTGGACAGTAATTAAAAAAAAAAAAAAAGGTTTACAGAGGGTGAAGATGCTGATCTCATTCATCTCCTTCTTACAGCTCTGGATCTTCCAAGAGTCTGCTCGCATGTGGTAGACTGCAAAGGTGATGAGCAGGTCACCCTCCATTTGGGGTGATGCCACTCCTTACACAAACTCGAGGAGAGACCGAAATCTCACTGTGTGCTGAATAAAATGGCCATAAACATCTCTGCACAAATGGATATGCAACTTACCCTTGCTTTGATATCAGCGGGGGTAGCGCTCATTTACCAGCAGCAGTTAATTCTGAAGCCATTTCCTTTAGGTTTCAGTTAAAATAGTTCATGGTGGGAGACAGGTCATACTCATTTGTGGCATTTACAGTAAACGATGACACACATACACACCCCTGCTTCCCCCTCCTCCCCTCCAGATCAGGGCTGACATGGCCCCAGTTTCTATAGCTGTCGTCACGTGGAGAGCCATGGCAGTAACCTAGAGACCGGAAACAGAGAATGTGACTTTCTAATTACCTTCCTGCATACTCCACCCCAGTGTGTGCTTGTTTTTTCTTTTTTGTGTTTTTTTTTTGTTTGTTTGTTTTTTTTACAGCAAATTAATTATCTAGAGCCAAGACTGCAAGCTCATCACTCTAATGCTTTACTTTGGCACTGCAATGAGCTGGCCAGCAGTCTTTGAAAAAGGTGATTAAAGTAGTACTCTACTCACCTAAACTGAGGTGTTTGAAGATAATTAAAATTTAAAAATCAGTAACTGTCCATTTTACAGAAAAGCCCTATTGTAATTCGGGGGATGCCGAGCAGTGAGGGGGACATGACACACCAACACTCAAAAAACCCACAACCCCTGTCTGCAATCCCAAAGCTGTTACAGCCAAAGCATTGGTTATTCCTCGCATGTAAAACGAGCTATAGAACTATACCTGCCTTTCTGTAGCACAACTTCTGGTTTAATGCAACAGGGTTTTTCCCTCCCATACAGCTTTTGCACTGACGAGCACCTCAAACCATTTTTTTTCTGCAGTTCAGCACATGCATGAACTGACAAACAGCAAAAAAAAAATATTACGGTATTTGCAATTATTAACCTGCGCAAAGGACAAGGAATGTTTGAACGGCTTGGCCAAGGAGCTAAATGTTTCTAGAAGTAAATACTGAGTCAAAATGCACAGAACTATTTCTTTTAAATGTAAATACATAGCTGAGTAGATACTACACCACCAGCATAGCATCATGGAAAGGACATAAAGTATCCAACCACCCAGATTAAAAATCTCCTTAGCAATTCAGAGCTCATAAATTTAGTTTCTTGATGGTAAGTTTCTTTCTCACCCTGGTGAGTGTCCCAGACACTTTATTCAATCTATCTTGTTTAAATATTTTCTTTTTACAGGTGTTGTATAATTTCTGACACTGAATACACAACATTCTGTTTCTAGTCAAACTCATGCTAAAGCTCGCTCTGCCATAGAAACATAAGGTATATACCCCCCCAGTATAACGTCCATACACTCAGCATAGCCCTGTAGTGCTCCCTAGGACATCTGCTAGGATGAAGAAGTGGCTTGTGATGAAGGAGATGTGTTTACAGAGATGTTCAATGGGTACGCTAGCAGAAATACACAAGCCTTACAGCTAGGTTAGAAGTCTCAAACGTGCCGAGCCCAAACCTGCTCATCAAGACAACTTTTTTGCCCTACTGACAGCAGAAATGGGTAGGAAGGAAGAGAGCTGAAGCCTTGCCCAGCACAGGGATTTCCACAGCCTGCCTGGATGCACTGAGCAGAGTTACCACGAGAGCACCCCCCTGCACTGAGCACTATGGAAAACAAATCCTCTATGGACATTTGATTTTTCAGTATTGCATCTCTCCAGTCAGACAGTTACAACAGACTGTTGTATCAGCAGGCATCTCATTCTAAACAGCTCTGGCTAAGCGCCACGTTCTGAAACCATTTGAGGGGGCTTCCGAAAGACAAGCAAACGCGGGTCACTCGGACCGACGCCAGCCCAGGAATGCTCTCCCGTACTTGCCCTGGCAGTAACTCTTGCAACTTCGCTAGCAGCAAGCTGCTGCTCACAGAAGCAGCACGGCTGTTCACAGAGGTAGTGTGAAACTCACAGCATGCTCCCATTTCTTTAATCAGCTGACAAGGAAAACCTTATCCAAGCCTACGCTGAAAACTTGTTTTACTTGTTATGGCTCTGCAACTTCACGCTAGAAGTCAGGCGACCAGTTCACGTGTTATTTAGTCATGTCACCTGGAGGCAGTTTTTCCCCCTTTCAGACAGGATCACGTTTCACCAACTACCAGAACTCACACTCGCTCTCAGCAAAACCAAAGCAGAAGGTAGCAGGTAAGTGCAAGAGCTACTTAAGACATGCAATTGGGTGCAGTAGTGAATGATTACCCGTGTACAGCTTGCTGAGCACTTCTAGAATGTGAAAAACTTCTTATCTGTCTTTGTTCAATAAAGACAGTTATTTCTGTTACCGTTCCGTGCCCTAATACCACACAATCAGATTAAACAGGTCCAAAAAATGCAGCCGTGTTACCTTCTGATTAACATCATCTCATTTTCTTGCAATTTTGTAGTGACTTTGGCAAAATTACGGAAGTGCTTTTTATTCTGGTATGTACCTCAACTACCTTGAAGAGAACTGAACATATTTTTTTTAAATAACAAAAGAGTTAAGTTTAAATGAGTCACACCAATGAATATGAATTTAAATAATTTAATGCTAACCAAGAGTACAAAGTGTGAAAGTCGGTGTCTCATTTATATTGGTCTTAAAAAAGAAATCTATAGAAAGTGTTTACACTGCAGCAGATTTCAGTAATAGCACCTTGAAGAGAAGTTCTTGAAGTGTTAAGACAGCATGGTAACACTGGTACAATACTACGTACAAACATAAACCATGTAACAGCATGTTTTCCCATTTCTACGTTTGAAAAAGGTTACTTAAAAAGTACATTAAGATCAGAAGTTTTTCAGCGTATTCACAGTTTGAGCAGAGATGGAATCAAGTGCTGGAGTAGAAAAGAGAAGGATGAATGATTTCCAGGCAATTAAATTGCAAGTCCAAAGGCACTGACAATACAGTACATAGTCTTATTCTCCCATCTCACAGTGCAGGTTCCTACAAATACAAAAAAGGGTTTCAGAGACAGAAGCAAGTCACGGTGATTAAATGCATGCCCTTATGTGCATGTTTGTAATTGTTTACACTAGGAATCTTAAGAATGAAGCTTTGACAACAGCTAAGTGCTTCATACATAGCGGAGTTAGCATTGCAGCCAAACGGAAAAAATACCAAACTGCATGCTATTACTCCAAAACTATAGTGCTTGGGAAAAAAAGTATACTGCCTAGTCTTAAGGGGACTAACATGACATCTGCAAGCTGAAAAATCCAACAGTTGTGCTCCTTACCATCACTGGAGTTGTCCCAGAAGCAAGAGCTTGCTGTATGTAGCCCAGCACCATTCTTTTGCATAATCACACAGGTCACTGTTAGTAGAGAATTAATTTATCACTAACATTAATTAACTAACTGCATTTCTGCTTTGCACAGTACATACATACACACATGCCTATATACATGCTTAAGAGTACTTTACAGACATGGTTCTTGCTCAGATCGTCCCCCACCCGCTACCCACGAGTGCACCTGACTGTACCAGCTTTAAGAGAAAAGAGAAAGTTGAGCTCACCAATGTACTTGAAAGGCTTGCCCAGCTTTGTGAGCTGGCTTAGTGTTTGTTCCACCACGCTCGTCGTCCACTGGTTCACCTTGCTGTGCTGGTAGGCATTGCCACCTATCGCACTTTCTATGGCCTGTTGGTGACAAACGCAGAAAATCAGCTGCACTGCTGCCAGTCTACAAGGCACCCATTAAGCCATTCCAATATGGAGCACTAAAGATGAGACCCCACACCCACAGAAAAAATCCTAAATACTGCTTGTCCATGCTGATTGTTGGAGGTGTTTTCAATTATTAAAAAATGTGCAGGCCAGAGTTTGAACAAGGCATAGGGGAAATTATCATAGATTCCATCCTCTCTTCACTTTGTGATAATTTGATTATTTGTAATTCCTATCCCAATGTCCTGAAGTCAGAGTTATGACAGGGTCTTGCATTCAAACAGTCTTGAAGAGACTGAACAAATGCACACAACAATGGCTCATTCACACACATTGTTCTATGGAAATCAACTTCAGATTTTTCAGCAGAATCATTTTTGGGAAACAAAACCCCAAATCAAAAGACCCGTGTAGTTTCTGGTTACCAATAGAGCAGAAGCCTTCAGCCAAATAATCCGTCTTACTTATGAGGATAGTTTCCCCTTTAAGATACAAATAAAAGTACATTAAAGCTGCATGTTTTTCATTGATACATTTTTTTCCTCATAGAAATTGTTTGAAAAATAACCACAAAATTATTTCAGATTCAGAAGAGACAGGAGCATGTATTAAAGCATGTGTATCCAATTTACAGAGTCTGACCAAAACAGTTGTTTTGCAACATGAAAAAGATTGTACCAGTTTACAAGAGGAATTCTCAATGCAAAAACCAAATCCCTCTGGAAATTTTCTAGACAGGAAATCCATGTTTCTTAGCAACAAGAATAGTTCAGTCATTTCAAACAAACAAGAACTCTTTCTGGAGGAAAAGCATCTCAAAAGAACACAGTAACACGCATATGCAGACAGCACACAAAAAAACCCTATATGTTACTGAACTATAAAATCTATCTCTGTCGGGTTTAACATAAAACATCCTCCTAGAAATTCTAATAGGGATACACTGCAACGAGAGAGGAGCACATGAAATTATTTTAATTATCTTTTCAATTTGTTATACACAATCACAACTAAAGCTTGGTATCATTTCCACTTAAAGTATGTACATTGCTTAAATCAACAATTATCTATACTTTGACAGCAACCTATCTAGAAATCTACTACATATCAGTTATCAGACTTTCTTGAATGCCTTTTAGCACACAGCATACAACACACTACACTTCCACACCAACAAAATGAAAATGTTAGTTTACCTCTTTAATGATGCTACTGACTTCATCGACAACAAAGGAAGTCTACAAAGAAAGTAGAATTTTAAATCATCAGTGGACACATTCTTCAGTTTACAGAGCTCAAGCTTTGTCAAGAACACGCACTAGAAGCTTAATTTATGCTTGTCAGCTTTCTCGCAAGTCAGAAGATACCGAGTCTTCCTTTCTTTGCTCATATGTACTCTGGCTCCCTGAACCCAGTCAAGTTAACATTCTCAGCAAAGTAATGAAAAATAACAGATGAACTAATATTGGCTGGCCTTCTGAGTCAAAGTTTTCAAATTTTAACTTGAAAGTATTTTAAAATAATACATATAGCATTTCTGTACACATATACTCTCATTTCACAAGAAGCATTAATGTCCACAATTCACAGCAGGGCTGCAGAGACAACCTCGGTGTGCAGGCGCAGCTTGCAGTTAAATGAAAGCGACATCTCCAGGGCACTGACGCGGACAAAACATCAATTCACAGCTCCAGGAAAAGCTGTCATGACAATCTCAGCCGGGGATGAGAAGAAAACTGCGCCTTAGAAATCAAAGAGGAAATCTAGCTCGCTGGACTTCGCACCACCTTCAGCCTTCTCTTGGGCTCCGGGGAGCAGAGATTAAGCGTGTAGAATGGGGACAGAGAAGGCCCCAACATTTTACTTAAAACTACAACCCGTTTTCTCGTATGGTTAGCATTTTTCCCCATTTCAGTCTCTCAGCTATCGCTGTCTCCGTGTAAGGTGGTTAAAATCAGCCACCACCACTGCTGGGCGCAGCCCCCCACCACCCATAGCCACCCCAACAGCCAGGGAGGTCCAGCAGGCAGGACCCCGCGCAGCCCGCCACCCCGTTTTTACTACAGGTATCTCACAGCCTCACCTCACATACCAGAACAATCAGAGAAAAGAAACTCACATAACAGCAAACAAATTTATTTCAGAAGACTCAATAAGGATTTCATAATTAACCTAATCAGCATATGTCCACTGAATTTTTGCTGGTAGGTCTGTCAGCTTCTCCAGCCGGCAAACACGACTAACAGCAGAATTTGGGTGCACAGGCAGCACGCAGTTACCCCTGCTCAAGAGAATTTCAGCACTATATCCATAAAACCTTTGGTCAGGAGAACACTCTAGTCAGTGGCAACGGCGCGCAACGTTCAGAATGATGCGCGCTGCTGGGTGTTCTCCCTGGGAGAAGAAACGGCACGCCCCGGGAGACGCGCGGGCAAGGCCTCTGCTGTAACCACCCAGAGGCACCAAATTCCTCGCACACTTCAGCATTTTCAAAAGCTTTTACCTGTTGGGGCAAACTGGCTTTTATTTTCAGCTTCTTTACTCTGATACAATTTTAATATATCTCAATTGTTTTCACAATATCGAATTTTACAGGTGCTTACACTGAAGGTGCACCACTGTATTTAAGCAAATGAGAGCTATAATTATCAAAATATCCTTTCCCATAGAGCCCAAGTTAAGAATATGCATGGCAGACATGCTGGCAGACATGAAGCGTGCTGTCAGGCAAGCTGATAAACCATATACGGATTTTTCTTCACAAAGTCTAGAACTCTGCTCTGAAAAGTCTTTGAGTGAGCACAAACACAGCTCACCAATATGCATTTTATCAAATCCAACCCAAGTTCTCAAAGGTATTTAGGTATCTAATCTGTACGGAAACAAGTGGGACAGAGCCATAGATACATTTGAGAATTTGGTTCTAGAGTTGCTGTCACTTCTCAAACCTCTCTCTTTTTTGGGATGAGAACATAGATGGATTTAGATACATGACAAAACAGAACATAGAAAACCACAGAGAAAAATCTTAGAATGGCTTAAAGAACATAATGCCCCGATACCCAGCTTTGTGGTGTGTGTGCTGTAACTGAGTTGCCAAATACACCACCACCATTCCATCCTTTCAGAACACAGTACAAACACTTTTTGTATTAAAAAACGGGGACAGAGAAGGCCCCACCATTTTATTAGACTGAAAACTACTACCCGCTTTTTCCTATGGTTAGTACGTTTTCCCATTTCAGGCCCTCAACTATCACTGGCTCCATGTAAGGTGGTTAAAACAAGCCGCCACCGCTGCCCAATGATTGGAAAAGGGGAAATATCACCCCCATTTCTAAAAAGGGTAAAAAGGAAGGCAACCACAGGCAGTCAGTCTCACTTCTGTGCCCGGCAAGATCATGGCGCAGATCCTCCTGAAAACTGTGCTACAGCACATGGAACATAAGGAGGTGACTGGTGACAGCCAACATGGCTTCACCAGGGGCAAATCGTGCCTGAAAAATTTGGTGGCCTTCTACGACAGGGTTACTGCATTGGTGGATAAGGGAAAAGCAACTCACACCATCTACCTGGACTTGAGCAAAGCATCTGACACTGTCCCACACAACATCCTTGTCTCTCTTTTGGATATACATGGATTTGATGGATGGACCACTCAGTGGATAAGGAATCGGCTGGATGGTCACACTTAAAGAGTTGTGGTGAATGGCTCAATGTCCAAGTGGAGACCAGAGACAAGTGGTGTTCCTCAGGGGTTGGTATTGGGACTGGTGCTGTTTAACATCTTTGTTGATGACACAGATGGTGGTGGGATCAAGTGAACCCTCAGCAAGTTTGCTGACAACACCAAGCTGAGTGGTGCAATCAACACGCTGGAGGGAAGGGATGCCATCCAGAGGGACCTTGACAGGCTTGAGAGGTGGGCCTGTACGAACCTCATGAAGTTCAACAAGGCCAAGTGCAAGGTCCTGCACATGGGTCTGGGCAATCCCAAGCACAAATACAGGCTGGGTAGAGAATGGACTGAGAGCAGCCCTGAGGAGAATGACTTGAGGGTGCTGTTGGATGAGAAGCTCTACATGATCTGGCAGTATGCGCTTGCAGCCCAGAAGGCCAACTGTATTCTAGGCTGCATCAAGAGAAGCATGGCCAGCAGGTCGAGGGAGGGGATTCTGCCCCTCTACTCTGCTCTGGTGAGACCCTACCTAGAGTCCCATGTCCAGCTCTGGAGCCCTCAGCACAGGACAGACATGGACCTGTTGGAGCAGGTCCAGAGGCTGCCAAAAAAATGGTCTGAGGGCTGGAGCACCTCTCCTGTGAGGAAAGGCTGAGAGAGTTGGGGCTGTTCAGCCTGGAGAAGAGAAGGCTGCGGGGAGACCTGATTGCAGCCTTTCAATACTTAAAGGGGGCTTATAAGGAAGATGGGGGCAGGCTTTTTAGCAGGGCCTGTAGTGATAGGACAAGGGGTAATGACTTTAGACTGAAAGAGGGGAGATTTAGATTAGATATAAGGAAGAAATTCTTTACTGTGAGGGTGGTGAAACACTGGCACAGGTTGCCCAGAAAAGCTGTGGTTGCCTGCTCCCTGGAAGTGTTCAAGGCCAGGTTGGATGGGGCTTTGAGCAGCCTGGCCTAGGGGAAGATATCCCTGTCCATGGCGGGGTGGGGTGTGTGGAACTATATGATCTATAAGGTCCTTTCCAACTCAAACCATTCTATGATGCTATAAAATAAAGGAGAAAAAATCAGAAGCTTTGTGATTTCTCTGCACTAGCCTTCTGGCACAAGGCAAGCAGACATGATGTTTTCACTACCTTGTTTAAAAGAGCTGTTCCTAAGCAACAAATGTAAACTGCAAAGCAGCATTACTCTTGAGTAATTCTGAAGACATTTTTGAAAACAGCTATTGGAATGATGTTCAAGCATGTTAATTATCAGTTTTTAAAAAACGTCTCTAACGGTGTAAAACAGGCCAGGCCGGGCAATCAGGACAAGGCCTGTGGAACAGCAGCAGCCCGGCACACCTTCGCCCCTCTCGCTGCTTCGCTATTGTCTCACCGAGTCCCAGCGCGGCTGCCGCGGAACGCTGCAGCGAACCGCCGCAGCCCAGGAAACCC